TGACGCTATCCTTTTTGGGCAATAGATCATGAAAGATCTGGTGCCTCAAGGAAGACTGACAGAGCAGAAGCAAAAACAAAAGGGTCAAGGCAGATTTGTGGCTTTAGCTGTTTTTCAAAGTGATGTGGAATAATATCTAATCGAGAAAGACAATAAAGATTAGAGTAGCAATTATCACACTAGAGAATAGAAAACCAAAGTTGATTCCTTGAAAAGATCAATGAAATTGTCAAATCTTTATCTAGACTTACCAAGAAAAAAAGAGAGAAGACTTAAATTACTAAAATCAGAATAAGAGAGGAGACATCATTACTGACCTTATAGAAATAAAAAGAATCACAAGAGAATACAGCAAACAATTGTGTACCAACAAATTAGATAAATGAAATGGACAATTTTTACAAAGGTACAAATTACTGAAATAGACTCAAGAGAAAAAGAAAATCTGAATACATCTGTAACAAGTGAAGAGATTAAATTATTGAAAAACTACTCGGCAAGAAAAGCCAACACTGAGATAGCTTCACTGGTGAATTCTGCCAATAATGAAGCCTTAGACATGAAAATACTTCCTGGGACCACTTATTTATTCATTTTCTAACAAATATTCGAGAACTTACTGTATGCTAGGGACTTGGAGTACAACAGTAGACAAGACAAAGTCCCTGCTGCCCAAGGGCTTGATTTGTCATGAGAAGAGTTTTAATCAAGGCACAGTTTGTGAGCTGCAAGGGAAACTACTGTGAACTCACGGAGTCTGCATAGGACTTTATGGAATGCTGGGTTTGTGTGCAAACAACTGTTTATCTGACTGCAGTCACCTCTATCCATGCTTCCATCTCCTCTCTCCTCTCCCCTATCCTTCTGCTCCCACCTTTTTCTCCCTCTGTTGAAGCAGCCAGCCCTGCTATTCAGAAGTGAGTACACATGTCTTCTTTGCTGTTAACCACTCTGCAGTTGCTAGACAATCTCACCTGTAGACACAGGAGTGGAAGGTCTTTCCTATGTCTATTCTCAAAGTGTGGATCATCAGACCTCGAAAGAGGATAGGAAGTCATTTTCTCCCTTATCAACCCATCCCAATCTCTCCCTGGCATCTTGTGCTCCAGATGTTGGGGACAGCATTCCAAAATGCTGCTGGAGATGGGCTCTCTCCTACCTGTCACCAAGCCGTGCAGTGGGAACCAAGCTCCCACAGCCTCTAGTGTAGAGGAACCTTAAATAACATTCATCTGAAAATCTAGTGATGGTTAATACAGGAACGTCCCCTGTATTATTTTTTTCTTTTCTTTTTTTCTTTTTCTTTTCTTTTCTTTTTTTTTTTTGAGATAGAGTTTCACTCTTGTTGCCCAGGCTGGAGTGCAATGGCACAGTCTTGGCTCAGTGCAACCTCCACCTCCCAGGTTCAAGCGATTCTCCTGCCTCAGCCTCCCAAGTAGCTAGGATTACAGGTGCCCACCACCATGCCTGGCTAATTTTTGTATTTTTAGTAGAGACAGGGTTTCACCATGTTGGCCAAGCTGGTCTCGAACTCCTGACCTCAGGTAATCTGCCCGCCTCAGCCTCCCAAAATGCTGGGATTACAGGCATGAGCCGCCGCGCCCGACCGGGTCTGAATATTTTCTGTAAGAAACACTAGCACCCCTCTCAAAGGCCCTATAACCTTTTTTTCATCCTTCACAACTTTCTTCCTTAGCCACCCGAGGTTTGTCTGGGTTCACAGTCAGCGGCACTACACAAGCTCGGCTGGAATGCCTGGCTCTGGGGATTGACAGTGTGGCTCACCTGGCTGCAGGCCTGGCTTCCTGGGCATGCGACCTGTACACTTGGGCACAGGGCTCCACTCAGGCCCCACACTTGCTTTCATGCTCTGCTGTCACCATCTTGAAATTCTCAACTTTTTAAATAAGGAGGCCGCATTTTTATCTTGCACTGGACCCTGCGAATTATGTATTACTTTGGACCTTTAGGGGGGACTTCTCTGTCGTGTTTCTGAGTCTGGTTAGAGTGGTGATTAATCACCTGGCTCTGGGGCGGACAGCTGGCATTTGAATCCTGGCTCCTTTACTTACTAGACCCGTGATCTTGAAAGTTCCTCAGCCTCTTGATTTCTTTATCAGTAAAGTAGGATAATAATAGCATGTATCTCATAAGCTCGCTGAGAGGATAAAATATGTTAATACATATGACACACTCAGAATGGTGCCTGGAACATAGTAAAAAGCTGTGCAATGTTGGATGTTTTTGTTGCGCGGCTATTCCAAGGTCACGTTGCTCTGTATCTTTCAGCAGTGTATCTCGCACTTCGTGGTGAATCTGCCTGTTGGATTTAATTAGCTCTGTAATAGTCTCTGTTCATGAAAAGACTGCAGCAGAGTGCGCAAAGTGGGTGTGGAAGGGAGACCCAAGCTCTGCTTTTGCTCTGCCATGGAGCAGAATTCCATGTTAGCTCTCCCTTTTCCTGAACCCACAGACATCCCATCTACTTAAAGCCATGTTTCCCAAAGTGTGGGCCACGTACCCCTGGACAGGATGATTTTAGGTACCACATAGACCCAGCATTAAACAACATTCCATCTCATAGACAGTTATACATTTCTTATTATCCTTTCCATCCGGTGATTATATATAGAAAAATGTCTCCACTCAGTGTTAATACTTTTTTTTTTTGGAGACAGAGTTTTGCTCTTGTTGCCCAGGCTGGAGTGCAATGGCTCGATCTCAGCTCACTGCAACCTCCGCCCCTTAGGTTCAAGCGATTCTTCTGTCTCAGCCTCCTGAGTAGTTGGGATTACAGGCGCCTGCCACCATGCCCGGCTAATGTTTTGTATTTTTAGTAGAGACAGGGTTTCACCATGTTGGCCAGGCTTGTCTTGAACTCCAGACCTCAGGTGATCCACCTGCCTCGGCCTCCCAAAGTGCTGGGATTACAGGCATGAGCCGCCGCGGCTGGCCAGTGTTGATAAATTTTTAACATCTCTCACATACTTGCAAATTTTCCCTTTTTAGTAAAGAAAAAATTTTGCCTCCTGAACATGAAAGAAAAAAAAAAAAAGGAAAAAACTGGCCCGGGACTTTGAGCCTGCATCGGACCACAGTATCTAGTTGGAATGTTAAACATTATAATGTTCTCATTATATTTCTTTCTAGGATTAATTTATGAGTAGAGAAACTGGTTTTTCCATGTAAGGTAGTAATCCAAAGTTTCTAACTAGGGGCAAAATAACATGTGAGAAAGTCTAACAGTGTTTAAAAATAAGAAAATATTCCCAAAGAAACCCAGGGCTATGGCCAAAAGCAGAATGGAAGTGTGAGGCCACTGCAGAACAGATTGAGTCAGTTTAACACCAGTTAGCATCAACATCACAAAACATGATTTGTTGTTGTTGTTGTTGTTTTTGAGACGGAGTCTCACTCTGTCTGTTAGGCTGGAGTACAGTGGCATGATCTCAGCTCACTGCAACCGCTGCTTCCTGGGTTGAAGCAATTCTTGTGCCTCGGCCTCCTGAGTAGCTGGAATTACAGGAGTGTGCCACCACACTGACTAATTTACAGCTAATTTTTTTTTTTTTTTTGTATTTTTAGTAGAGATGGGATTTCATCATGTTGGTCAGGCTGGTCTTGAACTCCTGACCTCAAGTGATCCACCCGGCTTGGCCTCCCAAAGTGCTGGGATTATAGATGTGAACCACCGTGCCGGGCCCACAATATGATTTTCATCACAGAAATGTAATACACATTTCGAAATGAAGCAACGAGCAGTGGGGAAAACTAAGGAAGAAGTATGTGCTAAGCAGTGTCTCCCAGGATGGCAAATGGAAGTGCAGCGTAATACAGCTCAGGGTAAGACTGTCTCCAGGGAGGAACCTGCGTGGAGTAAAGAGAGGGAAAAGGAAAGGAGGGTTTTTGGTTTGAGGAAAAATAGAAAATTGAAAGCCTACGCAGTAGGGAACATGTGTATTCTTTAGACATGACTGTGATCATGCAGACAGTTAAACATCTTTGTGAGCCTCACCTGTCCTTTTGGTGGCATTTCCAAGGCCTGGATGAAGGCCGAAGCTCTCAGTGCCCTGGCTGACTTGGCCCAGATGGAGTAATTGCAGCCTGTTGCTTCCATCATTCTCCCAGTCTTTCTTGTGGAGAGCAAATCAGCAAGTCAGCAGTTTCCTTTTAAAGCTCATTTATTTATGTTTTTAAAAAAGTGAATTTAAAGAATAAAAGAATCCAGGGGAAACCTGGATTTAGGAAAGTGGTGAGGGCGTGTGCCATATCTGTTAGTTCCCCACCCCCTTCCCATCCACTCTACACCCTTCTCTGTCCTGCTGTATATGCCCCAGGCCTGTTTAGGCCATGTCAATGTGTTATTTGCCCTCTGGCTTCTGTTGGGGGTCCTTAATGGGGAGCACTAGCAGGAAAATGGGGGAGGAGGAACAGTGAAGTCAGAGAATCTGCTCCTGCTCCCTCCCTGCGGGGTTGCTGCTGGCTGACTGTGTCCCTGTGCTGCAGGTCTGCAGCCCCCGGTGCTTTCCCTCCTCTGGCCTCTTCAAGGGTAGCGTAGTAGCAGCTTCTACTGCCAGTAGCTTCAGGGAACTACATTATCCCTGTGGTTTCCCCACAAAAGACTACAGCAAATAGTCCTTTTCTTAAATTCTCCCAACACAGATTGAGCGCACCATCTGTTTTTGGCTGGGCTGCGGCTGATACAAGGTTATTTACAAAGATCAAAGTTTGGGAAACAGTAACCCAGAGGAAATCCACCTGTATTCCCCAAGATCTCTCTGATCCCTCAAACCTTCCAGATATCCAAAGGAGGTAATGGTAAGGGTTAGTAAATGGTGCCATCTTCCTCCCCACCCTTCATCCCCTCTCTTGTTCCAAGTACTTCTTTTAGTTGCTATTTTAATACAGATAATGCAATACTGTGTTCTGCAATCCTACGGAGTATAAATCTCAACTTTTTGTACGTAACAGAATTCCATTCAAGTAAAACAGTTCAATGATTCAGGTACTCCATGAAGTTTTATTTTTAAAAAATTATTTACTCTGTACATATTTCTATTGAATCCTAAGTACAGATATACAAGGAGCTAAAGCAAGTGCAGTTAAGTATGCATGGGAGAGCTAAAATGGGTATGTACATAAGATCAGCAGCAGAAACCAAGCTCTGTAAAATGAGTTCTCCCTCCCCTCCAGGGTGGCTCATTATGGAGAAAATAAGAGCTTTGCCTTTCTCTGTAGCAGTAATGGTCTACAATAAGCTGCACACACACATCCCTCATCACACCTCCCTCCAAAAAAAAAAAAATGCAGGGAGATGTGTCCTGCCCAGGTTAAACTATATGCAGGCTATCTTCAGGTCATGAGAAGCAGTCACACTTGCTTGTAAGTTCACCGGTTCGGGTAAGCAGATCACCTTTTCTCTGGAAGAGAAGAGCAATAAGAGAGCAGTGGCTGGTGAGCAGACAGGGCTTGGCATTCTGTGGCTTTTGAATTTCCATGATGTCTGATGAAAGAAGTCTGCAGTCACCTACAATTAAGAGCCAGTTCATGTGGTCCAAGGGCCGGGGGTGGTAAGGTTAATGACATAAATGCCTTTAGAGGGAGGGAAAGGGGATGTGGATTCTGGATCCACACCCATGAATGTGACCCATGATATGTTTGGAGTGGAGGCCACAGAGGAGAAAATATGCAATGAGAAAACTTTGTTCTAATGAAATCTTACATAGAAACTAAATATGTAGAACAAACACAGTGGAATTTCCCCAACCCAAGATGGTCCCACAGGAGGTTCTGGAAAGCTGGGTCTCTGTCATTTCTGCTTCTAAGATGGTAATCACTATGATGAGCTTGAATCTCAACAGGCAGCACATCTAAGGCCAGGACTGATCTTTGATGTGTGTGTGCGTCTGGCGGGGGGAAGTGGATACTGGGGCTTACCTGTGATTGACAGGCAAAAGGGCAGTGCAGAACTTCCCAATAATAGTAGTCCGGTCTTTTTTCCAAACTCGGTTGGAAGACTGAAACTTGAATTTCACTTGCTTTATCTGGCACTGTGGGGTGGCATGAGCTATGATTCCTTTCCCGTGAAGTTGCTGCTTAGGTCTGCAAGGAAAGGGGCAAGGGAAAGTAAAGGACTGCAGCCCTTATGGCCTGTACTTTCCCTTTGGCTCCAATCAGGCTCTGCTGGTGGCACTGGTTGGCTGTCATGCACCAAGGGGTTAGCTCCTTACCACAGTCCTTTGTGTCACCCTCACCAGCCCCTCTGCCCACACCTCCAGCTTTGAATATGACCAAGAAAGTAGTTGTTGATTTTTTAGAGTGAACAAGTGGACACTGCAACAAAATAGTAGCTCCTGGATTTTCATATCTGGAAAAACTGTTCCTCATTCTTGGATTCCCAGCTGGAGGAGACCTTCACCTTCACACCCAATTACCCAGAAGTAGAAACCCTCTTTTAGAACATTCCTTTTCAAAGAATTCTGTGTAAGGACTTTTCTGTTTTAGGCTAAGTATGAATGTGTGGGTGGGAACAGCAACAAGAAAACAGATCATGAGGCACAGACAGAGCTGGGTGGAACCCAGGTTTTGTCTTCCCAGCTGTGTGGCTTTGGAAAAGTTACCTAACCTGGCAAGGTGGCTGTGGAGTCACTAGCAACTAGGTGTAAGTCCCAGCTTCCCTACATGCTGCTATGAACTTGAACTACGGAGTTTGGTTCATACTGACTTCAGCCTAGGAGGCTCAGAGTGAAAACAGTATCCAGTTCTGTCTTAACCCACCCTCTTGGCTTTGCCCCTCAGATTCCCTATCTGTTTAAAGATTCAGGCACCACTTTGGACTGAGACAAAGATGAGGGAGGAGTATGAAGTGATCAACCTAGCAGGGTGCTTCCAAAAGGGCTGTGGTACCCCCTAGGTACTAGGTACTGGAGACAAAAGCAAAAAATCGTGAGATTCAATGAGGACAGTCTTCATGCTGAGTGCAAGGCACAGCCCAGCCAGCAGAGCCTGAGGGTGGTGAGCAGGGGATCAGGGAGAGCGCCCAGCAGGGCTGCACCACCCAGCTAGGGAAGGAATTTGATTTGTGGGGCCCTTTGTAATCCTCCCTGGCCTCTGAGGGGGACTCTGAGAAAGAGGAAAGAAGGAGGGCGCTGCGTTCCTCTCGGCGGGGGGCGGGGGCCAGGGGGTGTGGGGAGCCACCCCTGCCAACTCGGTTTCCTGTTCGTTTCTGGCCTTCACAGAGTGATGACAAGGCTTCTTTGTGTTCTTTTTGGTCCAGGGTTAGTCATATATCTTGTTTTTTCCTTCTAAGGGAAGATCATTATAATTTTGTTTAAAAACCAGTCCCTCTTTTTTTAAATTCACAAGTCTTTTGAAATACCTCAGAGGAAAAAATAAGATTGTTTCCTTTAAGAAACAGCTTAGATTGAAGAGTTTGTAAAATTCAAGGAATATGAAAAATCTTTTAAGTGAGTGATTTGGGGAGTTGGCCCAGGTTAATTCTCCAATTAGAAGAAAATCTTAGAGTCGCGTAAAGCTATAGAAATTTGGAGAAAGACCACACGTAACCTTCTCCCCATTTTTCCCCCAGTTTCTGATCCACATGAAGTGAATCATGTTCTGGTGCCTTCTTCAAAAGAGTTATGTGAACCCGCTCGGGGAGGAAGAAGCGCTAATCTGTGGATGTTGACTGGAATTCTTCGGGGAGCTTTTAAAGTTTAGCTGTGGAGCCTGTGCCCAGAGACCCTGATGTGATTGTTCTGAGGTGGGGGGCTTGGCATCAATATTTTTTTTTTTTTTTTTTTTTTTTGAGACGGAGTTTCGCTCTGTCCCCCAGGCTGGAGTGCAGTAATGCAATCTCGGCTCACTGCAAGCTCCGCCTCCTGGGAGGTTTACGCCATTTCCGCCTCCTGGGTTTACGCCATTCTCCTGCCTCAGCCTCCTGAGTAGCTGGGACTACAGGCCCCCGCCACCTCACCCGGCTAATTTTTTTTTTTTTCCGTATATTTTAGTAGAGAGAGGGTTTCACCGTGTTAGCCAGGATGGTCTCGATCTCCTGACCTCGTGATCCGCCCGTCTCAGCCTCCCAAAGTGCTGGGGTTACAGACTTGAGCCACGGCTCCCAGCCAGCATCAATATTTTTTAAAGCTCTCCAGGTGATTCTAATGTGCAGCCAGAGGTGTGGGTCATTTTCATGACTCCTGCCAGTGTTTTCGGACCTACCAATGGGCTAGAAGATGATGAAAACACCCTTCTAGAAGTAGCACAACCTTGAGCGGGTCTAATGAAAGGTATTTGGCTTACTGATACATAGCCACAGTCTGCAAGGCCCTGTGGGCACCTGCAGGCCTGTGTTGGAATCCTGATGGCTATATGTAGCTGTGTGACCTTGGGTGAGCCAGAAGGAACACCAGCTAGTGGCCAGGGATTTGGGAGCGAAGAAGTGCACTCCTTCCAGCAGAAACTTGTAGTGCCTCTTAGCAGAGTTCACATCCAACATCCCAGCCTGAGAAACATCTCCAAACTCACATCTGATCTCATCACTGTCCTGTTTAAAACTCCCAGTGGCTCTCCAAACTACTCTCAGGATAAAAAAACTTGTCCTTCAAGGCCTGGCAGGGTCTGGCCCTGACTTGCCTCTCCAGCCCCACACCATCCCCGTAACCCTAAATCTGTGCTCCATACACACCAGAAGTGTCACATTCTCCCTAAGCCTGGCCTGGGTAGCTCCTGGAAAGCCTCGAAATCTCTGCTCATCATTTCCTTAGACTCGGTCAGGCTCCGTCTTCCATGCTGTCACTCTCAGGGCATTGCTGACACATTTAAGTGTGTATGCACCGGTCATTCCCCTGTTTGCTCTGGATTGATCTGTTCCCCTGCAGGTTCCCCCACTTGCAGGTTCCAGTGAGGTCTAATCCAGTGGAAGCATGCTCAGGTGGGTGGCTGCTTTGGGCAGGGATTCCAGACGGGCTGCACTTCCCATGGGTTCAGCTCCTGCCAAGCAGCCTTCTCTGTGGACCCAGCTTTGCCAGTGCCACTCCTGCTTTGTCTCTCTAGCTTAGGGTGGTAGTGGCTCCTGTTGTGAGTAATCTCTGCATTGTGTCCCCATCTCTCAGTTTTTCAGCTCATCCAACACACTTGTAATGAGTTCGCCGTGCTAAATTCCTTCTCTTGGACCTCCTCTGTTTTCCTGACCAGACTCTGACTGAGACAGTGACATTGTCTGACCGTCTATCTCCCGCTGGCTTGTGAATAACTAACCAGTTGCTTTTTAAAGAAGTATGCACCATGGCTGCTGCCTTCCTATCCCCTGCAGGCTGTGGCTCCCTACAGTTGGGGTTCTTTACCCTCTCACTTCAAGCGTAGTTCCACCAGCCCCCAAACCCAAGTCTGCCCCAACAAAGGAAGGGAATGATTAGCCCCAGTTCCAGGAATCATCAAGCCCTCCTGGCCGCCAGTCTGGCCCTCAGCTTGCACTCCTTTGCTGACTGACACTGTGCCTCAGATTCCATTCTGATAACTAACCTAGAACTGCTCTCCTTTCCCAGGAGTGGGTGCTCTCCAGGCTCTGGCTAGCCCTCCCTGGGCTGGTGACTGAGGCCCTCCTCCCTACTGACATCCCTGATACCCGCACTGCCTGGATTCCAGAGTACTGTTTCGTCTCAGGGACCTGATTCCTAGGTCCTCTCCACCATGTTGGCATGGCATGTTGCGACATGCCGTCCCTGCTGCCTGCCTGCCCTGCCTGCTCTCATCTGAATCTGTTATACTTGGACCCACTACTGAGCAGCTCCCCAGCCTGTGTCTGTGGCTGGATCTAGAGTAGATGCTGCCCCCAGCCGAGCTGGCTGGGCCCCGGAATCAGCAATCACACAGTACCTGACCTGGGTTGTCCATGTGTGTAAAATGAAAAAGTAACCAGCTCCTAAGGGAAGGGGTCAACCAGGTGGGACACTTACGTACATGGTGATCTTAGATGAGAAGGTGACGTTACTGCTAAGGAAAGTAACCTCGATGTTGGTGTCCTTTCTTCTCAGTTGCTTCAAGTGAAACTCCACGAGGCTGTGATGCACTAGGAAACCAAAGCACAACAGAGACTGGGCCAGAGGGCAGAAGGTGCAATGAGCAAAAACCCCAGAGAGCAGCAGTGTGGTTGGGAATCTTGGCTCTATCTCTTAGTAGTTGTGTGCCCAGGAGGAGATTACCTATAATCTCAGATCCTCAGTTTCCTCAAGTGTAAATTGAGGATAATAAAAATAGACACTTGGCCGGGCGCAGTGGCTCATGCCTGTACTCCCAGCACTTTGGGAGGCTGAGGTGGGTGGATCACCTGAGGTCAGGAGTCTGAGACCAGCCTGACCAACATGGTGAAACCCTGTCTCTACTAAAAATATAAAAATTAGCCGGACATGATGGCGGGCACCTGTAATCCCAGCTACTCAGGAAGCTGAGGCAGGAGAAGCACTTGAACCCGGGAGGCAGAGGTTGCAGTGAGCCGAGATGGCGCCATTGCACTCCAGCCTGGGCGACAAGAGTGAAACTCTGTCTCAAAAAAGAAAAAAAGAGAGAGAGAGAATTAACTCATAAAATATAGCAATGGCCCTGCTTCCTCTCCACACACCCACCGTCAGGGAAGGAGGCTGTGTGTATAGGAGACTGCTCCTCGCCCTGCGGCCACTGGTTGCCTATGTGATATCCGGACTCTCCTTTGAGCAGCGTGGATGCTGGAGTTCTCAAGGTGAGTATCGCCAAGGTAGACTGGATGTAAAACCTGGGCCACGGTGATATCCCTGGGACCTGTTGTCCCTCTGACAGGAGAAGGTAAGAAAGATTACAGGCCAGGCATGGTGGCTCACACCTGAAATCCTGGTACTTTGGGAGGCCAAGGTGGGCAGATAACTTGAGCCCAGGAGTTCAAGACCAGCCTGGGCCACATAGCAAGACCCAGTCTCTACAAAAAAACAAAAACAAAAAATTAGCTGGGCATGTGGTATGTGCCTATAGTCCCAGCTACTTAGGAGGCTAAGATGGGAGGATCACCTGAGCCAGGGAGGTTGTGGCTGCAGTGAACCGTGACTGTGCCACCACACTCCAGTCTGGGTGACAGTGGGAGACCATGTCTCAAAAAAAAAAAAAAAGAAGAAGAATTAAAACATTTAAGAAAAGCCAGTCGCGGTGGCTCACGCCTGTAATCCCAGCACTTTGGGAGGCTCAGGCGGGCAGATCACCTGAGGTCAAGAGTTTGAGACTAGCCTGGCCAACATGGTGAAACCCTGTCTCTACTAAAAATACAAAAATTAGCTGGGTGTGGTGGTGCACATCTGTAATCCCAGCTACTCAGGAGGCTGAGACAGGAGAATCGCTTGAACTCAGGAGGCGGAGCTTGCAGCGAGCAGAAATCGCACCACTGCACTCCAGCCTGGGCGGCAGAGCAAGACTCCGTCTCAAAAAAATGAAAAAAAAAGTAGACACCCTAGGCCTGAGATAAATAGGTTAATATGTATGAAGTCCTCAGGCCAGTGCCTGTGCCTAGGAAGCATTCAGTAATGTTGGTTTTTGTTATTTTGTAATACTACGGTTTTACTTCCCCTTGTTTGCTCACATTTTCATGGTGGGATGATCTTGAATGAGCCAAATGCATCTGTCATATATGGCTATCCTTTGAATGTTTGTGTCCCCTCCAAATTTATGTTTAAACTGAATGCTTTGTGCAACAGTATTGAGAGGTGGGGCCTTTGGGGGAAGGGATTACATCATGGGGGCTCTACTATCGTGAATGAAATAGTGCCTTATACAAGGGCTCAAGGGAATTGGCAAGGCCCTTTTTTGACGTCCTGCCTTCTGCTGTGTGTGAATGCAGTATCTGTCCCCTCTGGAGAACGCAACAGCAAAGCACCTTCTTGGAAGCAGAGAGTGCAACCCTTATAGACATGGAATGCCGGCGCCTTGATCTGGGACTTCCCAGGCTCCAGAGCTGTGGGAAAATAAATTTCTGAGCTTTGTAAGTTATCCAGTCTCAGGTACGGTGTCATAGTAGCACAAATAGACTAAGACATAAACTAAAGATTTAACTCGTAAGGTCAGGCA